AGTGACTAATGCCTTTCTGGATCAAAGATCTTTATCATATCATGGTGTGTTGTATTTCTTTCCTCTTTTCCTCTTCTTGCTAAGATAACAAGTTGCGCAAGTGGCCATTATTCATGGAATGGGTCTTCCCCTCATGGGTATTGATTACAACACGATTTCCGTGAAGTTGTAAATAAAACAGATTACTGAAGCGTGTTTTATCAGTAAAAACTATTTCAAAATTAAACTTTTAGTTCAATGCGTTACATACCATTTCTTTGCAATTATTTGCTTTAAATGAAACCTTACCATTTTTTTCAGTGCAGTTGTGAATAAACAAAAAAGTGAAACACCAAAAGTGTTGCCACTTTATAATAAAGGACACTTTAACATGTTATTGATGTGAAATTTCCATATCAATTTCCCTTATAGCTGCAAAGGTAATTTGTGATAAAGTCTCATGTAGGATTTGATAATGTGAATGTTATGGTTATTATTTCATTGCTTTGTAATGATGCAATTGATAAAAGCATATCTGAGAGAAAAAGGCCTTTTTTTATTTATCGATGGAAAATAATTCAGTGTTCTTTTGGATTTGTTAAAGGATTGGTTCTCAGCTTAATTTAAATGGTAATTTTCTTATATTCATGCCATTACAAATAAGTTTTGTTATTTTGTGGAACGCAAAAGAGACATTTGAAATGATCTTCTGGTCGTTCTTTATCATGCAACAATATATGGAAAAATTATGCAAAAAGCATAAACCCCTTTGCTCAACACATGCCCTATATTCCCGCTGAAGCCATATAGATGTGTGATGAGCAAACCTAAATTTGAGCCATTATTCACTGGAAATCTGTTTTTTTACTATTAAAACTGCTATTAACTATTAACTGCTGAGTTAGTGAGGTGAACTTAAGAAACATCAGTCGGATTCTGTGTTTTTTTAACTGGACCATTTGATTTGCTGAAAATATCAAGCTGATTTTTCCCCCCTCTCTCGTAAATCAGAAAATCACTATTTCTGGTTTCTCACATAAAACCACAGCATGGCTTCAGAAGCCATGAAATAGTTATAAATAGAGCACACAAGTAATGTTAAACCAATTTAAAGATACTTTTAGAGTGTTTTATGGCACTTTGGACTTTCACAGTTCCAGTTCTCCACTTTCATTACACTTAAAAATAAAAGAAATACATTTTAAACTAAAATCAAATAAAACGTCATCTTTTGTGTTCCACAGAAGACAGACAGTCATACAAGTTTGAAACTATAACGGTGAGTAAATTATAAATTTCCATAAATCTTTTTTTTCTTTAATGTGTAGATCTTTATAGAATATTAACTAACTTGGGACCGTCTGCGATCTTTGTCACAAGAGGTTAGCCTATATAAGTCACCAATAGAAAAACCTATTTTAAAAAATGCAGAATGTAAACCATCTTTTAATATTTAGAGATTAATAAAAATAATTCATGGTTGTAAACAAAATTACAGGGGCTGGTCTTTTGCAGTGATGACGCCAAACCAGCAACTCAGCAATGGCGTCCTGACATTTTTGTCATTGCTATTGTTTTCCATGATCTGAATCCAGGGTGTGCTCCTCTCTCCCCTCTACATTCTGCATAGCTGAGAGGGCTAGCGAAGTTGAGTCTTTTCCAAGTGTCCCATTCCCCACTACGTTTGACACCACACTCCAGACACAACACTGACAGCTGAGGAAATAAATGAAAACAAAGTATCCCTATCTGCGTCGCCTGCCTCGGTACAAGCTAACACACAGCTGTATGGCTGACAGATGGAAAGAGTAGAATGCGAAAAGGAAAAGATGGCTGGGGTCATTAGGCATAATAAATGCCACTGGACTGGTCTAGTTGGCAACCCGAATTCCGCAAACAGGTGCCTCGTGTTTACTGAACAAACAAGAGACACTGAGACGGAGTGGCACTAGTCTGACCTGAGGGCCACTACAGACACTGCATCTTAGAACACTTAGCACTGTGACTTAAATCTAACATAGAAACTGGCTTCCATACAGAAATAAGTGGTTGCTCTGCTGTTTTATGGAAAAATACAGAACTTAACATAAGGCAAGACACTACAGGCAAATCCATTGTGTTTGTCATGGACTGGTCAATTTGGATATTTTTATTCAACTGCTTTCATCTGTCATCAAAATTTTTTGAGCACCAAATCAGCTTAGAATGATTTCCGAAGGATCATGGGACTAGACTCTTGACCAGATAGCTTCAAATCTAGTGGCTTGACTTTTGTATCTGGGGTGCAAAGGCCAGATTTTCTTTAAAGTGGGTTAGCAATGTGTACCTTTAATGTCATACCCTTTTTTGATGTCATAGGTTATTTAACTAATGACAAACAATCTATGTGGGTCTGAACCGATATGGCTCTAGCTTACCAAGTAAGAAATGCGCATTGTAATGAACAAATAGAATATAATGTTGCAAGCTGATGGCGCAAAGCCCCAAGCAACCATCAGCTAGGGATAGCCTACATAGCTTATGTGCCCCATTTGTAAAAAAATTATATTGTTTAATTTCTGAATGCATGAAACATTCTCACCATTGACCGCTCTTGCATGACACTTCTAACATGAATGAACCTCATAGCAAACATCTGGATTTAAAATTCCTAGGCATGAGCGCAACATTTTTAAAGGGGTCATATGATGCGATTTCAAGTTTTCATGGTGGCTGACTAAATACTTTTTTGCCCACTGTATATATATATATACAGTGCCCTCCATAAGTATTGGAATATTTAAAACAAAATGCTCTGTTTGCTGTGGAGTCAAGAAATCTGTAAATATGATTAAAAGATGAATATGAGAAAACTGTAGAATGTCACATTTTATTATTGGGCGTTTCAACACATTAATGTTTTACCAGCTAAGAAGATCAGCACTTTTAGAGTTCATCCCACTATCTGATGTGAGCATAAGTATTGGAACAGTTGCCTCACAGGTCTTTCTGAGTGATCAGCTGTATCCTGTTGCATTTATTCTTCAGATATTAAAAGCAGGGAATGTGTCGTATCAGTTATATCCATTGCTTTTGCATTCTGAGTCTTGCATTCGATGACGACACACACAAACCAGGATTAAGACGAGGGGGCTGACTTTGAGAGAAAAGCAAGCAATTTGGCTGCTAAAAGAAAATAGGAAGTCAATTAGAGCTATAGCAGAAACAAAGGGCATGGAAAAATCAAGAGTTTGGAAACCACCAAGCAACCGTCAGCAACCAAGAACGACCTGACTGGCTGAGAAAAACAACAGCAGTAAAAGAGGTAAAAAAGCAGTCCAATGAAAATGAACCCTAAAATACGGGTCTGTAAAATCACCAACTACCTCCAGAAAGCTGGGGTGATGCTCTGACAATCTACAGTACTGTCCGCAGAAAACTTTGACACAGAATTACAGAGGCTACACAGCAAGATGCAAACCTCTGACCAGCACCAAAAATAGAAAGGCAAGATTAGAGTTTGCAAAAGCCAGTAGTTTTTTGGAACAGAGTTTTGAACAAATGAGACAAAGATTCACCTTTATCTAAGTGATGGGAAAGCAAAAGTGTAGAGATTTAGCAAAGCATAAGTGTAAGTGTAGAGCATTGTGGAGGTGGTGTCGTGGCATGGGCATGCATGGCTGTCTCTGGAACAGGCCCTCTCAATTTTGATGATGACTTAATGTATGATGACAGTAGCAGAATGAATTTGGAAGGGTACAAAACCATCTTGGCTATCAATACTCAAGAAAATGTCACCAGACTCATCAGAAAGCGCTACATATTATTGCATCAGGACAATGACCCAAAACACCCTGCCAGTTCAGTCAAGGAGTTTATCAGGGCAAAAAAATGTAAAGTCTTAGATTGCCCAAGTCAATCTCCAGATTTATATCTGATTGAACATGAATTTCACCATGCAGCTGAAGAGGAGACTAAAGGCAGAAACTCCCCAAAACAAGCAACAATTGGAATTGGCTCCATTAAAGGCTGGGAAACGCATTTCAAAGGATAAGACCAAGAGTCTGGTGATGTCTGTGGATTGTAGACTCACTGCTCTGATTGCACGCAAGGGATCTGCAACAAAATAATAGCTTTTAATCTTTTACATCTGCCTTAAGTTCAACTGTTCCAATACTTATGCTCGCATCAGATAGTGGGATGAACTCTAAATGTTCTGTCCTTTTTATTTGGTAAAATATTTGTGTTGAAACAGCTAATAATAAAATGTGACATTCTGTAGTTTTGTCTCATATTAATCTTTTAATCATATTTGCAAATATCTTGACTCCACAGCAAACAGAGCAATTTTGTCTTTACTGTTCCAATACTTATGGAGGGTACTGTGTGTGTATATATATATATACATACCTATAAGGTATAAAATAACTCACATGTATTATCATATATATTCATTTACTGTATATACAAATTGTTCCATTTATTCAAAAGCTGTTTTGCATGTTCTCTTGCACAACCCAGTGTTCACTATGCAAGACAGTAATTTTTGTTTGACTAACTGCATATTGTACAGCATTTTAAATTTAGATTTTTTGCAAGTGTTAATTATTTAATAAATCGTAAATAATATGAATTATATATAAATTGCAATTTATATATAAAATAGTGATTGAATACAAATTAAGTGTTTTTATAAAGCTACTTATAAACAAAAAATCTGTCTTTACTATAATCTTTGTTTTAATTTACCACAAGTGTGAATTCTCTATGAAATGTGATAATACAAAATTAATGAAATGTTCATATACCAAGGTTAGATGCTGCACAATTAGTATTTTTTTTGGTCAATTTAATAACAAATGAAAAGCAGCCACAATCAATGACTGTTCTACACCATGTTAACTGCATGGGACCAGTTTTTTAAGGGGATAATTTAAATTACCTTAAATGTATAATTTATACAAATACAGTACATTTGTTTTATTTTTGAATATTTACAAGTATAAAACATATATAACAATATTTTCAACAAGACATGGTTACACTGGCCACTTGCCCTATACCTTAGAAATGCCATATAAATCAAAATCGTGCAGACTATTCAGATAAATGAAGCACACGTTTTATTGAATTATTCCTAATTGTAGTTAATGTAAATATATTATGTTCAGCACTAATGAACCAAGTTTCTGTTTTACCATTTATTTTTAAAAAGACCACAGTATGTTTAACATTCTGCTGTAGAAACAAATCAAGACGACTGAGTGAATGTAGTAATTACAAGATGAGGGAAAATCCAGCACTGTGTTCTACTATAATAATAAACTCTAAACTATATAAAAAAATGACTTGTGTACCTTCATGCATCAATTGCCTTGTAAGAAGCCTTGTGATGAGGTAGAATATCAGCATAAACACAGAAAGAAAGGAAAGGCACTTTACAAATTACATTGCGAAGAATCAGTTTCTGCAGAGAAATAACTAAAACAGAAAACTAAAAACAAGATATTGCTACACAGGAAGTCGTAGGAGGAGGGACAACACTTTGTATGTTATGACACAACCCAAAGGAAATGACTGATAGACATTGTTAAGATCTTGGGGCAATATAACTAGATGAAACTAAAAGGTTTGATGGACACTGAATGTATTTTAAGAATACAAATTATACATTCACCTTGATTTAAAATAGCCATATTAATATTCATTATCTTATATAAGTATAAATTACACATGCTCAGCTGGTATAAGAGAATTACTTAGTGTAAACCATCACTGGAAGACTCAAAGTGCCCTCAGAAACCAATATTGCCTCGTGCTAAGCAATAGCCCAACTTGTTTTGGTTTCCTATAACAGACATCAGACCCACGTATGCTTCGACTAGGATGGGTTGATTCAGCAGAAGAACCCCGTTGGCTTTCCCAGGTACAGGATTCTTGCTGTGGGCTTTCTGTGCTGCTGAAGTCAGCTGTTCCCTGAAGTTTTGAATCTAAAATAGGAAGGAAAATATGGAAAAGTAATTTGTTCAGTACTAAAACACAGCAAAGACATCTTTTGAAAACTTATTTGACTCAACTCATGTTTGTCAGGTTGGCGGTTTCTGCTTGTCAAAACATTCATGTTTATGTTTTCTCTTTTTTATCTACCATTCTTCATTTTTGTTGAACCTGCTGTGCACCTCAGTAGGCGGGGTGGAATGTAAAGAATGGGAATGTGGCTGTGGGATTTGACACCTCTGAAGTCCAAATGACTGGTTATGCGATCTTTGTGGTCACCTGCATAAGACCCCTCGCTCACACCTTAAACTACATATATACTTAAAGGACAGCAGATTGTCCTGGACCCCGTGGCCACTTTAAGTGAGCCAGGGACCACAACAATCTAATATCAACAATTTGAAGCTCAGGTTTTTAAAAGTGATTAATCTATACAGATGCTTCAAAATATTACTTAAACTTTATGGTTACACTTTATTTTAAGGTCCAATTCTCACCATTAACAAACCATTAACTACGACTTTTGCCTTAATAAACTCCTAATTTGCTGCTTATTAATTGTTAGTAAGGGTTAAGTTTAGGTATTGGGTAGGTTTAGGGATGTAAAATATGGTCATGCACAATATGTGCTTTATAAGCACTAATAAATGGCCAGTATGTTAATAATAGGCACGCTAATAAGCAACTAGTTAACAGTAAGAATTGTTCCCTATGCTAAAGTGTTACCAACTTTTTCCTATACTATTTCTTGTCTATTGTCTAAATTGTATTGCAATTAAATAATACAGCCTTAAATCAGGGTTTATGCTTTTTTCTAAAGCAGTGACCACTTATGCTCCTTGCAAAAAAGAAGTGCGTAATTATATTGAATATGTGACCCTGGAGCACAAAACCAGTCATAAGTAGCATGGGTATATTTGTAGCAATAGTCAACAATACATTGTATGGGTCAAAATTATAGATTTTTCTTTTATGCCAAAAATCATTAGGATATTAAGTAAAGATCATGTTCCATGAATATATTTTGTAAATTTCCTTCCTTAAATATATTAAAACTTCATTTTTGATTAGTAATATGCATTGCTAAGAACTTCATTTGGACAATTTTAAAGGCGATTTTCTCAATATTTAGATTTTTTCACACCCTCAGATTCCAGATTTCAAATAGTTGTATCTCGGCCAAATATTGCCTTATCCTAACAACTGTATTTGCAGATAATGTAAGTTTTTCTTTACATGCTTAAGTGCCCTTTTAAAAAGTGCACTTTATTATAGTGTCAAATCTTTTTTTTGTTGTTTTATTGTTTAAGTAATGCTTTGTCATGCACTTTATGGTACATTTTAAAGTATATTTTAGTATATACTAGTGCTGTCAAAATTAGCGTGTTAACGCTGGCGATTACTTTTTCCAGTTTAACAGAGTAAAAACTATTTAACGCAGTTAATGCAGGCACGGGGCTAGTGTTAGCCACCCCACTCACAAGCTGCTTTGGTCTCTTTTTTTCCTTGACAAGAATTGCATTTATTTAGACGCAGAACATCTTTACGACTGCATCAAACTGGAGACTTTTTAGATGAGCACTCCAACTTCACCTCAGTGCCAGGTTCTAGTCAAATGAGTGCGGAAAAGGTACACGTGTCGAGGGAACTTCAGTTGAACATCAGTAAACTGCGGTCAGATGAGACGTTGTCAGGCCTTATGTCAGTAAAAACGAATTTTCCTGTCCTGTGAGTGTGAGCTGTGCGGCGGCGCGCTCTGTAGCCTGTATCATTTATATATATTAAAATGCCAATGAAACTACAAGCATGCATGTCAGATCCGCGTCATGTTCAGCAGCGGCAGCTCTTAATGTAATAGCAGCCAAATAATGTAATAACCCAGGTGCTCTGATGTGCGTTAATCAAAGAACAAAAAAGAGGAAATCAATAACTTTCGTAGCTCTAAGGATTTATCAATATTTAATTTAGAATGTAGTGTTTGATAACTTTATTAAATTTCTGTATATTTCCTACTTGCTGAAGGGCACAGGTAAATATGACATTTACTATAATGGGTTTATGTGAAGATTGTTTTAAGTTCACAAGTTGCTATTTTTTCAAGTCTAATAAATGTTAAAATTGATAGCTCTCAATTATACTGTAATGTTAGTATAGTTAACATTACATATAGTCAATGGTTAAATATTAGGAAAAAAGAGACATCAGGGGCCGTATTCACAAAACATCTTAGGACTAAAAGTAGCTCATAACTTGCCGATTTAGGAGAAAATTTAAAAAATAATGGGCATGTCAATCCTAAATTTAGGACTCCTAAATTTTTGCTCTAAGTGTATTTCACAAAACGTTTTAGCACTAAAACTAGCTCCTAAATCTGTGAAACTTTAGGAGTAGTGAAGAGGACTCCTAAGTCACTAAGACCAAGGCTGTTGCCGGCAATCTGCCTCTGAACGTAAACATTTTAGAAACATTTGATGATAATGACCAAAGGTATCATCTTTGGTTTTGGAGGTTATCCCAACTCCAAATTTTCCTTTGATTATATCCTTGTTTTCATTAACCAGTTGGGCAAGAAGTAACAGCTGTTCTTGCGTCCAGTTTTTTTTTTTTTTTTTTCATTTGCATTTATTATCAGCCATGATTATTCTACTCTGTTAATTAAAAGGCTGTTAATATGCATATACACTAATTGTTTTTGAGAAGCACACATGTAAGAGGCTGACAATTACACTCTTAAAAATAAAGGTGCTTCAAAAGGTTCTTCAAGCGATGCCATAGAAGAACCCTTTTTGGTTCCACAAATAACCATTTAGTCAAAGGTTCTTTAAAGAACCATCTCTTTCTTACCTTTTTATAATCTGAAGAACCTTCTTTCGCCACAAAGAACCTTTTGTGAAACAGAAAGCTTCTTCAGATGTTAAAGGTTCTTTATGGAACCATTTAGATAAAAAGGTTCTTCTATGGCATCGTGAAACACCTTTATTTTTAAGAGTGTAGCTGAACATATACTTGTTTAATTAGTGATATCCTTATCCTGCATTTTTAAATATTTATTTGAATGTGGCAATTGACATTTTTATTTTGAAACCTTTATTTGAATACGGCAACATATCGTGCTCTACAATATTTCCATGAATAAATCTCTGACAGAGACTATCAGCCAATCACTGTGTGCATAGTTAGTAAGCATGATAACATCATCCATAGCAACGAGGTCAACCCCGCCCTTACTCTTAGCTTAAGACTTCTCTGTATTCATTAGTTAAATTTTGTCTCAGCAGCTTTGTGAATAGGTTTTAAAGGGGTCATATGATGCTTTTTTAAAGATCATTATTTTGTGTATTTGGTGTAACAGAATATGTTGACATGCTTTAATGTTCAAAAAACACATTATTTTTCAAATACTGTACATTATTGTAGGTCCTCTATGCCCCGCCTCCCTCAAACTCTTCGTTTTCTACAAAGTCCCTCCTTCCGACAAGCGCAGTCTGCTCTGATTGGCCAGCTGACCCAGTGCATTGTGATTGGCCGAACACCGCAAGCACTCGTCAGAAATGTAATGCCCCTTACCATAATCGCTTGCAACTTCAGGGATTTTATCTATGCACAATCAGCTTGTAACACTCCAAAGAGAAAGGAAAACTTGAAATCGCATCATATGACCCCTTTACTCTTAGCTAAAAACTTTTACTGCTATTTAGGAGAACTCAGTGGTAAGATAAAATGTTTTGTGAATACGGGTCTAGTAGAATTGATATCAGTGATACTCACCTTCAGTCATAAAAAAGATGCCATTAAACAAATATTACAAAATACTTTCTTTATGTTGTTACTACATTAATTTAATGATTGAATGTGAAATTATTTCAATATAAAAGTATATTTAAAATCGTTAATGTTATGTGGGATTAATCGCGATTCATGAAAGTTGCTTTTATATTCATACAAAGATGAGATAACAAAATCACACAAATACCTGCACACATAAAAGAAAAATATCCTCGGTAAGCAGATGGTTAAAAAAACGTGTTTTTGGTAGTTTTCAATACAGTAAACTATAATCATTGCCATATTGACATCTAAATGAACAGTTTTCAGAGCTTGGCCTCGTAAACCTGAAACATGAGTGTTTTTATAGGCAAGAAATAACTTAATGGCATGTATGCACACAGATAAACCATAAACTTGAATTTGAACTTGTTTAACCTTCCACTGACAGTGCATCACTAAGCCACTTTTAAAAAAAAACTAGTAAGCCTTTCAATCAATAACTTAATTCAGTAGTTTTTGTGCCATGATTTTTGCTAAGACTTATTCAGTAAATTTCTCCTGACTTTGTGGCTTTAAAATGAACCCAGTTGAAGAAACGCTGCCTTAAGTAACCTTGCTTCAGCCTCATGTAGTCATTCTTTGAAAGGTTTATCATGTAGTGAAATAAATATGGCAGCATGCATGTTAACTGAACACGTCATTTCTTCCAAAGTCGACTTCCAAGAAACTGTGGATTCCTACTCCACCTCTACAAGTCCTCTGGCAGCGCCTCTGTAATACTTGTGAGTAACAGCATTTGAGAATGCCTAAGTGAGCTCATATGATGGTCGGGTTTTGTCGTTATGAAGTCTGATAATTTGACTAAAAAATCTTATAGAAATATGTCAAAGGTATGGCATGAGACCTGATTGTGATAAAAGTGTTCTGTGTGTTGCATAGTAATACTCACATCACACAGGTGGCCCAGCTCCTCATTGGCACTCTTGACAGGGTGATAGGTGAATGTAGTGAACGGATAGTCAACAGAAAAAGGATTCCAACGGGAAGTGAAAGACGGTTCTCTGAGTTTGTCCCAAAACACCCGCACACCCTCACCTTCTCTCCTGAAAAACACACACACATAACATAATGCTTGTATACAGGAAATGATATAATCTCTAGAGAAATATACATTAATCTCTACAGGGGACTCGACTAGGGAACTCAAAATCTCATTTCATTTCTAGAAAAAAGATTAGGAAATGCATTTCAATGCAATTAGTTGCACGAGTCTGCTAAAGCATGCACAAAAATCACTCAGCTGTATAAAAAACAGGAAGTAACACACATCTTTTGTTTCTACATATGCAAACTCTTACTAACAACAAGTGCATTATCTGCTCAGTGATTCATAATTTCATGCTTTCAATTGATCCTGCAGATACCCCAGCTTCGCTCCATGCCAAAACTGCCACCATTTTTCTTCAGGTCGCCTCCTTTATGCACAAGCCAATGTAATGTTTGCTAAGCTTAGAGGCAATTCCCTCCGCTCATCAGATTTTCTTTCATTCCCCCTGCCTTTCTCTTTTGCCATTTTAAGTAAATAGATTTTAATGAAAAGCCTAGAGGGGATGTCTTTATTTTCCAGGCTGATGAAACCTCAGAAGACAAGAGAGCGTCTGGCAGCAAACACAGGGCTTAAAAACCTCTAAACACTCGCTCTTTGAAATGTGTTGGCACCATTCCATATTTTACAAGCATCTTTCACAATTGACTATGTACCGTTTCTCCATCAGTCATGGTATGAAAGGCTGTGATTTTTACAATTGTCCATTCATTTGTACCAAGAGACTTATCACCACTCTTCATTTAATACCAATTTTAAGTATTGCATCATGTATTGGTGCAACAAAATAAATTGAAAAGCAATAAAACATCTTCAAAGTAAATTTGAGTTTTAGTCGTGCTTATTGACTGCTTGGTTTCTATTTCGGTGTTGTTGCTCCAGGCAGCCTCGCCCACAGTGAAATTTCATTGGTTTGAAATCACGCTCCTCATAAATGTATATTAAACATTGTACATGTTCTGATTGGCTGTTATTGTGCTGCCTGCATCACACTGCGTTTTTGCATTTTATCCAGAAACCTGTTGCGTCGTGCCTGTTTTTCAATATACAGAATGAGGAAGTATAAAAAACATTTGACATTTTTATTTGTTCTCAGAATAATTATTTATTAGAGAGAGCTGGGATATCTGAGAAATGTAGAGAGAACTTTTAATGGAATGAGCTTGGTGTAAATTCAACTTTACTTTGATACACTCTTAAAAATAAAGGTTTCAAAAGGTTTTTTTGCAGCGATGCCATCTAAGAACCATTTTTGGTTCCCCAAACAACCTTTCAGTCAATAGTTCTTACTATAGTTTAGTCAATGTCAGTAAAGAAGCTTTATTTTTAAGAGTGTAGAAAATGGAAGTGAAAGAAGTTATATTTTGTTATTGACATTTGATAAACGTGTGACATGAGAAAAACACTTCTCGTGTGTCTCACTGATGTGACCTTCAGCACAACACCATGGCAGTTAATCATACGTAACCAGTGACCTAGTGGGCCTCCTTCACTCTCATACAGACAGACTGGGCTCCAGGTAAAGTCAAGCATCTACTGTAATCACTACAAAGCATTCAGTGTTTAGCCACAGGAGGTTAACTGTCCTTTTTTTTTTTTTTCTGAGCTGATAGATGGAGACATTCAGCCTGAGGGTTGAAACAACTGATTCCTTTTCTGCCCATTTACTCTCCACTTCACCTTTTCCCAACACTCTCCAGTTATTTACTATTTCTATATATTTCAAAGTTATGACACAGTGCTTGCATAGAATGGTAACCTAAAATGGTAACATCTACATTAACTGCTTTAATTAAAGGACCAAATATTATTTAATATTTCTCAATCAACCTAAATAAAGGAATTTATACAAACGAAACACATTTTTTATGGGTTAAAACCAGTGTTGGAGAAAGTTACTTTTAAAAGTAATGCATTAAAATATTGCATTACTCCCTAAAAAAGTAACTAATTACATTACTTAGTTACTTTTTATGGAAAAAGTAACTTTCGATTTACTTTTTAAATCTGGGTAAATGTAAAAGCCCTTTCACAACAAAAGTGAAATGAATACACCTCAGGCTCAGGGCCGGTTCTAAACATTAGGAGGCCCTAGGCAAAATTCATGTTGGAGGCCACCCACCCCCAATAAAAAGCACTTGAACCAAATGTGATTCCTAAACTTTTTATTTATACATTTAATTTTAAATTTGTATATTTTTACTTAGTAACAGTCAAAAGTTTGGACACATTTTTAATGTTTTCGAAAGAAGTCGATGATCATCAAGTCTGCATTTATTTGATCAGAAATACAGAAAGAACTATAATATTGTAAAACTTTAAATAACGGTGTTCTTTTTTGCCATAGTTTAAAATATCTATTTCTGTGAGTCATAGCTGAATTTTCAGTATAATTTTAACATATCCTTGTGAATAAAAGTATTAATGTCTTAAAAAATAACAGCATTTATTTAAAATAGAAATCTTTTGTAACAATACCGTTCAAAAGTTTGCAATTCAATGGGTCAGTATTTTTACTTTTCTATTTCACAGTCAGTGTTGGGGAAAGTCACTTTTAAAAGTAATGCATTACAATATTGCGTTACTCCATAAAAAACGAACTAATTACATTACTTAGTTACTTGTTATGGAAAATAATGCGTTACGTTACTTTTGCATTACTTTTTAAATCTGGACAGGGCTTGCGTGTTTTTTTTTATATAAAAAAGTTATATTTTTGGCAAATATAAAAGCCTTTTCACACCAAAAGTGAAATGAATAAGTCTCAGGCAGAAGGGAAAGTAAATTTACGTCCGTACAGTAGAATGCCAAAGAAGAAATTTCAACACAATTCAGCAATAAAAAAAGACACAAATGTTTGTCTAGAGTAATTTTTGCTTATTAGTATAGTTGAACTGGATCATCGAAGGTCAGAAGCAAAGATATTGGTTAATAGAATGGGATTAAATACAAAGGGTATTTGTGTTGTTTAACATTTAATTATTGCAGGTTTGCGTCATATTCTGAGTTGCATTATTTTTATTCATTTTGAGGAATACTGAATCTGTGTTTTTTTTGTGAGCGAGATGAATTAATGCATATTCTTATTTATTTTAGAACTACAGTAACATCTGATTTCTCTCAGCATGGGGACAGGAGAGCTGTCAATCAATACATTGGGAAAAACTATTATTTACTTATTTGAAAAAGTAACTAAGATATTCTCTTGTAAATTAAAAAGTAATGCGTCACTTTACTAGTTACTTGAAAAAAGTCTGATTACGTAACTCACGTTACTTGTAATGCGTTACCCCCAACACTGTTCACAGTATTATTGTTTTTTCTGTATTTTTGATTAAATAAATGTATAGCTTGATGAGCATAAGAGACTTCTTTCAAAAAACATTAAAAACTGTAATGTGTCCAAACTTTTGACCGGTACTGTACGTACATATTAATCAAACTTTATCTAAGGTAATCTATTTTTTGTTTGTTAAGGATGTTATTATAGCCGTGATAACATTATTATTATTATTATTTTTCAGTATGTTTTCAGTAATTTATTCACAGTTCCTGAATATCACTTCAGTAAATGAACATCAGTGCTTAAAAAAAAAAAAATTCTCTAGCTGGGTATGGGCAGGATTTCTCCCTCCCATTTAACCAATATTAACTATGATATTGTCATATTATTAATATTAATAAATATGATTTTAGCCTACGTACTTGTTTTTACTTTTGTAGCTATTTTGCTAATCAGCTCCCGACGCAATGCCATTTACTGTACATGCAAATTGAAAGTGTCGCATTTAGGCGCGTCATCGCAGATTAGATTAAAGGGTTAGTTCACCCAAAAATTTCAATTAGCCTATGTTTTACTCACCCTCGAAGCATCCTAGGTGTATATGACTTTCTTCTTTCAGACGAATCCAGTCGGAGTTATATTAAAAATTGTCCTGGCTATTCCAAGCTCTATCATTGCAGTCAGCGGGTGTTGCAGTGGAACAGTCTACACGTTGTCAAATAAAGTGCACGCATCCATAATAAAATGTGCCTCACACAGCTCCGGGGGTGTGGGGGAGGGGGGTGGTGAATGAAGGCCTCCTGTATCGAAACCATGTGTTTTTGTAAGAAAAATATCCATATTTCAAACGTAATAAACACTTTTCTCTCACTTCCATTATCTTTCATACGCGGAAGGCATTCCAGTGGATGACTCAGGACGTATGCGCAGCGCGCGCGCCTCTGAGATATGCTAGTCTCGCGAGTTTGTTTACAGGAGCAAAGGAAGCAACGTTTCCTTACTTTAGCACTTTTCACACATGTAGATCGATTGCTTTGTTCCAAAACAGGTATTAAAATGATTACAATGTTGCTTTTTATTCTTGGTGCGGTTCACTTTCATACGGCAATGTTTCTAAACGGACCAAATTTACAAGTCACGCGTGAGTAAACTGTTCTCTCATTGGTCAAAGTTCCATGGTTTATTTTTCGGGATTCCACTTAGCTGTCACAGCTGTCATCCGTCAGGATGGTACGACAACAGCTTTGCGGGCTTATTGTTGTTGTTTTTTTGTAGATGTCGTTATATTAATTTATCACTTTGAGCAGGAGTCCAGGATTCATCGGGAAAACATTTTTAAAATGCACATACTAGGAAGAAGAGCAATAAGACGGCATTATAAAATGAAAAAGTGCACTTTGATTTTGAATGGCGAAGACGTGCTCACCCACAGACATTCACATGGTTCATTTTGAAGTATTAGCAAAACAACAAAGCTAATGCTTTTCACGGAACTTACATAATTACCCACCATAAATTGTGATATAGCCTGGTTCGTTGGTCCATTAGATCGGATTGTTTTCTCACTACAACCCGAAACACTCCAAAGTTAGTTTTCAATCGAGCCGAGACCACCTCGTTCAGGCGATCTCGGACCGATTGTTTTGGCGTGGATCTGAGCGCGATTGCCGTGTTCACATATGCCCAAACGAACCGAGCTAAGGAGGGAAACGAGT